ACGTAACACCTGAGGTTACTTACCCGTGTAATGGTTTGGGAGCAGGCTGGTGGGGGTTTCCTTTTCTCTCTTAGCTTGCTAGGGAAGGCTTCAATTCCTGCTCCACCCTCGGATAGGTGAGTTCCTGGGGCTTTTCCAGCAAGAGGCTGTGTATTTAGGAGCCACCTACACTTTCTGCTTGCTCCCTTGCAAGTACCTCCACCTCTGTCTTCCTCTGGACCACATGTAAGACAAATGAACACAATTTTCAAAACAGTCCTTCCTCATTTATTCTAACTACCTTTCTCCCAAAGCTAATTTGGACTCTTGCCTGCCCAGTTTCCCCGATCATACAATCTTTTATTGTAAATAAAACCTGTGCACCTGCTTCCTGTTGTCCGAGTCTCATTTCTGGGATTATGACATACCTAACAATTGCAGTCACACAAAGCTATTTATCAATGTGGTATATTAACTCAGGGGTTAATGGAAAAGAGCTACTTTACTGATGAAGTTTAGCTAATTTGAAGCCAGAAAAGAAACGAAAAAGTATTTAACAGGGACGGCATTTGTTAATAAACATAAAAAATATAAAATCTAAACATGTAACTTGTAACAAAACTGATCATCTTCATCTTCAGCGGGTCACATAAAACTTTGCGGTAAATAAAGAAATACAATCACCAATGACTAATTGTTTTTGCACCTTATATTTGAGATAAATAGAGCTCTGCTTTATCTCCACTGGTAAATTAAACTCAAAGTTTGAACAGCAGGTAGGTACATGGGGACATTATATGTGACATTGGGAAATAACAGAAGCATGATAGGGCCCCTTTAAGTAAAAAAAATCACATGAATATTTCTCTCATTTCTTACCTTGATTAAAGCTTCAAAGAATTTGCTCATAGTTTATCTTTATTTGGAGGTTCAACCTAGATTGTTAACACTCCAGAAGTTCTTTTTTTATAGTTAATAAATAGATACATTGATATTTTTTATTGTGTTTGTAACAAGGCACTTGCAAATTGTTCCACACAGTACATTAGTTTAACACCCTGGGAGCTGAATATGAACCCATTTCTCTCTGACCCACATGTTCACAGCAGTTTATTAAACAGAACATAACAAAAAACTGAACTTTTGAAAGTACAGGCTAATCCAACAACAAAACGTTGAAAAAAATAGTTGTGTACAACTTTTAACACCCCCAAAACACATTTAAATGTACACGCCAATTAAAATAGACCCACTATGCTATATTCAGTGCATAAACAGCAGATTAACAAGGCTACAACCCACAAAGAAGTAAACAACCATTAGTCATTAATCTTTCTAGTAACAATACTGGAGCTGACAGTTAATTTATTCAGAGATGAATCTGTAATAATGTATGAGTGCATGAGTAGGTTTCTCCCCTGGAGGAATTTTTAAATGTAATTTATAAATCCAGCAAAGACTAATGCTTTAGTTTTTGTTATTTTTTGCTATTTTATACAACTGAAAAGTGAAGCCACTTATATATTTTTGTTAGATTGTGTTGTTCAAAAAAATGTTTAAAAAAAAACCTTTTAGAGAGCCAGAAGCGTCCTTGTGCATGAAGGAGATATACACAGATTATATAAAGACAAAGAAAACAAAGTACAAGGCTGATTTTTTTTAAAATAAAATACAGTTTATCAAGTAAGCAGGTATAAAAAAAAACACTTTTTCATGCCTGTCCTTATATCTCACATAAACAGCACGTGTTTCCCTGTTCACTTTACAGATTGATAATATTCTGATAATAGTTAATAGAAAATTAAAAATATATTTAATGTTTCAGTGTAGGACAGAGACAACCATGCTTAGTGCATAGATAGGAAGTACAAAGTATAAATATTTCATTACTGTACTTAAGTAGAATTTTTAAGTAACATTTTTTGACAACTTTTCACTTTTACTTCCTACATTTTTACACAAATATCTGTATTTTCTACAGGTTCATTACTTTAGATTTAACAGTATCACTTCTAGTTTAACAAGTGCTTGCAACTTATAACTGAGTGAAGTGTTTGTAAGTTGTGATTTCAGTACTTCAGCATCTAGCTAGCACTACAGAAGCAGAAGAAGCAAGGAGGAGGTAACGTGGCAGGTAATTTCAAATGCAGCGTTTCTGTCAGCTTAACAAATATTAACAAACTGTTTGTGTGCACTTTTTACAGTGCGTTGCTAGCTAAAGGTCCAGCTGTTGTATTCACAGGAAGAGAAAAGAAAGAAAATTAACATCACTCAGAGAAGGAGAAAGATGTAAGATGACAGACAGGACAGAGGAGGAAGAAGTGAGGTTATATTTAAAGGTACGGACTGTGCAGTGATACTCGATAAACTGCAAATTTAAAGCTTACATGTAACGTCATCATTTTATTAACATATTGGATCTGTCTGTCATGTGTTTTGATAAAGTGTGTCGTGCAAAACAAACTGAGCTATATTAACTTTTTGTTAATCGAATATTACAAGAAAAAACGAAGTAGATAAACAGGTCAGCTCATCCGATTGTGGTCAGTTTGAAGCTCAGTGCTGGTGCACAGTGGCAATAGAGCTCATGGTCAGAATTAGGTGACATTAAATGTAGAGTCACTGCTGTACTTTTGCCACCTTTGTAGAAAAGGCACATCATAGTGACATACTCTGACCAACCACGATATTGGGTACACCTGTTCAACTGCTCATTAATGCAAATATCCAATTAGCCAATCACATGGAAGCACCTCAGTCCATTCGAGCATGTAGACATGATCAAGACCACCTGCTTCAGTTCTAGTGGAACCTAAGAATGGGGAAGAAAGGTGATTTAAGTGGCTTTGAATGTGGCATGGCTGTGTGAGATTAACACCTTTAGGATGTGGTGGAATGGGGGATTCGTGTAATGGATGTGCATCCAACAGCAACAAAATCCCGGAGGAATGTTTTCAGCACCTTGTTGAATCAATACCATGAAGAATTAAGGCAGTACTGCAGGCGAGATGGGGTTCAACGTGGTGCTAGCAGGGTGCACCTGACAAAAATGCCTCTTGAGTGCAAGCAGAGACTAATTTTGCGATTTCAAGACACATGTTGTTGTCAGTTTCTTTACCCTAGTGCTTTAGCGCATTAGAAATTGTACTCAGCTGAAACAGATTTCCCCTGGGTTCTCACCTCTCGCACCTTGTCCTCCACCAACACATTTGATCTCCTCTTGAGAAAACCCCCCCCACAAAAACCCACACGCACAATTCAAAATAGGATTAAACCAACTGTAGTTGTTTTCAAGGATATAAATTTTAGCTTACAGAGTCCACTGGCCATTTTACTCAGGGATGAATCATGGCATCAAATTGAAAGTGTCAAAAGTCAGATTGTTATTCTTACGTACAAGCAGCTTCTTTCAGTGTCAGACGATGCCTGAGTGTTTTATTGGCGGCAAAGGCTGGAGTTTTTAAACACTTTGGGGAAACTGCAGTCCTTTTTGAAAAGGATCATCTGTCATGCAAACATTTGAATTCAAAACAAATGGAGAACAGAAGCTTACTCTTTGACTCCACCATAAATTTTTGAAGTTAAATAAAGAAAAACAAACAAAAAAAAAAACATGGCTGAACTGTACAGAAACCAAAGCCCTTCAATCTGATATTCTGTTGTCATTGCATACATTGAGATTAATGCTAATAAATACATTGTCAAACTTATTAAGAGGAAGTTGAAGTTAAATGTTTTTTTTAATATTACAAGGAAAATAAAAGCCTTTAATAAAAAGAAATAAAAAGAAATCAGACAATGCTGTTCTTAAATCAGTCATGGCCCTTTGGCCCCTTACTCCTTTGTGGATTAGAAGCTGAAGAAAACTCTGCCTCAGACTGGGAAGCAGGGACATTGCTCTGAAGTCAGTCTTTGGGTAGAGCTGATGAGTGAGCGCGAGGTGGAGGGGTTGCCCTGAGAGCTGGTTGGGCAGGACTGCTGTGGGCTTGTGCTCAGACTTGTTCATTGTAGCTGGCTGCCCCTTGTCTACAGTTATGTGTTCATGTACAGGACTGCTGTGGGCTTGTGGACAGACTTGTTCATTGTAGCTGGCTGACTTCACCATGGCTGCCCCTTGTCTACAGTTATGTGTTCATGTACAGGATGCTGTGGGTGTGTTCCTAGTGAAGAAGGTCTGGGTTTAGGTGGTGACACTTCTGCTTTTTTTGTTCATGATATTGTCTTTCTGGCATATTGTAGAATGACCTCCAGCACTTAAAAGCTTTGTGGGCGGAATGCAAATAAGCACCAACGCTCAGGTCCTCTAAGTGAAGGAGGTAGTCTATCGTGGGGGAAAGAAATCTCAATTTGTGCTTCTTCTTACATGAAATTGCACGACAGTTTAGGCCTAGATGTAATAGAGAAAAATGGAAAAATGCTAAAAATGTATTTCTGATGTAGAAATATTTTTGTCAAAAGGATTTGATGGTCATTTGCATAACAAATAATAATCCAAACTTACGTGACTTTTCAGTCAACGTGACTCCAAATCAGTCCCACCTGCCCTTAACCCACTGCACCCAGATCACACCCTGCCAAAAATAATGCTACCGTGTCTTTTAAGAGTAAAAAGAGAGCACCACCTTTGCAAATTGCTCTTTAAAGGTCAGCTCAGATGAGTAATTATAATTTTAGATCAGAAGCTGATAGGATTACACCATTAACATGTTCTACATGACATGTAGTAAGCAATACTTTAATTATATTTGCTAATACCAAATAAATTTGCTGACTTAATTATTCAGGTGCTCAGTGACCTCATGGTCGCATTTACAGTTTTTACCTCATTGAGATCATTTTAAACTAAGAGTTTCTAAACAAGGATCAATCCTGCAGCTTCTTGTCTTGTAGCTCTTCAGTGGACTACCTTTTGTGCCTAATACAGTTCTCTCTGTTTGTGTTAAGCTCTAATTTAATGCATGTATTGATAGATTGCATTTCTTATTAGCTCGTATGTGTTTATTGCACATTTTTATTTATTTATGTCATGGTCGGACGGTCCTTCCCGGGGCGACCTGCCTGTGTCTCTCTCTCTCTCTCCTCCTCCCCTACCCAGTGGCTGACACACCTGCACCTAATTTGCCACCCAGCTGTCACTGATCATCCTTCGTTGTGGGCTGAGGCATTTAACTGTGTGTCCAGATGGCAGTCGACGCTGGATTGTACTGGAAGCTCGGTAGTGAAGTGTTTGTTGACTTGTAGCTTAGCCTTAGCCGGCTAGCCCCCTCACTTGGTGTTTTTGCTCATTTGTAGGAGGAAAAGATACAGAGCTGGAGGTTGAAGAGAAGGAGCCCGCGGGGTTAAGCTATTGGAGGAGAACACACACTTGGATGTCACTTTGGGAACTCACCTGCGCACCACTGGGAGTTTGGAGAAGATCACCGTTGGACTTTGCACTTCACTTTGTGTTTTGAAACTGTTTTTGGGCACTGTAAATAAACGCACTGTGTACTTTGCACCCAGAGCTCCGCGATTGAGTCTGCATTTTTCCATTATCCGTGACAATTTATGTATTTAAAAATACATAGGGACAGATAATGTAAATCAGCTTTAGGATCTAAACTAACAAAAATCAACCTAAAGGTTTTAGTGTTTGACTCATCATCTGAGGAAAGATAAGCTGAGTTTGGACACATTGATGTTTTTAGAGGAAAATAGATCCAAATTTAATTGGACCGCAGCATCATAAGATTAGTCATGAAGAACAAACACAAAACTTTTAAACATCTGGTTTTGATGGGATTTATCATTCACGTCATATCACATCAGATGTGCAGGGACATATTAATCATCCTCCTGAGTGCTGCATGCAATAGTGACCTTTACTTTTTTTTCCATTACTGTATAACCTTGTAGCACAGATGTATTCAGTGCACTGCCATCACAGATAGCGAATACTAAAACGGTGGGAGTCTTATTAAAGTTTAGTAGGAATAGTTGGTTAACTTATAAACAAACTAATCAAAAATAAATTATAAATATAAACAATATTATACAGTGCAAATGGAGAAGAACAGAGTGATTTGTCTCTTCAGCACCACGGACAGCGAAGCACTCACTCTTTTACATATGGAGTTTAACTCTCACGTTCATGATCTTCATAATCTTTACCTTCACATGATCATTTGGATCAATTTTGACCCGAGGCAAGATGTATAGCATCTGTATCGATATCTTATTGGACATTAATTAAAGGAATATTACTCCTTGTCTTAATTAATGCTGAATGAATGTTTCAGAGAACGGTGAAAGGATATTTTTTCAATTTTAAACCAGTTCTTTTTGGAGAAAAACATCTATTGTGCAATATTTTTTTTACCAAGACACAAAAACATAACAGCTGTAATGATTTAATTATAGTTTGTTGAAAGCCAAAATGTCAAGCAAATTGTAAAACTGTTGGGATTAATTATATAACCACTGCAACCATTAAACAAAGCCCCCCTTCTGTTTCATAAAAAGATCCTCATAGCTAACATTTGTAATTTGCAACATTAATTCAATATTAGTCAATGCCGAAAACTCAAAAAATGCTTATGGCAAGCATTCAAAACAGTGATAAGAAACCTTGCATGTGTGGGATTTGTATGTTTACCTGTTTACACTCACTGCAATGGCAGCTCAGGTGCCTTTATACTCCAATGACCCCTGAGGAGCTCTTTGTAGCTCTGTTTTTATCCTGGTTAGCTCATAAATAAATTCTCATTAGCTTTCATACCACATGGATGCTTTTGCCTGCAGATGCAACGAACACAAAGAAGACATGTACTTGCATGTCTGTAGCATTTTTCAGTCTTACTGACCAAACAAAATGCTTTTACTTAAATTGCAACTCACAGACAACCTTAAGTGCACTTCAAGCACTTTATCTACCTCACATACATTGGCATTTTATAATGACAACTTAAGTTGAGATGGATGTCTTCAAACTGTGGGAGGACGTTGGAGTATCCAGAGGAGGCCTGCTTCAGGTATTGTGGAATAAAACTCCACACAAAAAGTCCTCAGGTACAATCTGAAGAAGGA